GTAGTGAAGAATCGATTATTAGGGTCTTCGCTGCGAACACCCTAATAATCGATTCTTTTTTATAGGTTTAAGTGGCAGATCAATCGATGTATCGCAAAGCACGCCACGCCACCGGTGCCAAGCAAAAACGCCGTATAAGCATTCGAATGTTGCCAAATTAAACTAATTGCTAATAAATATTGCCAATATAAACTAATGCTCGGAAACTAATTATTCTTGAAGAAAGTTATTAATACATTTCTTTGAAATTTTCAGAAAATCCTCTGAGAAATTGGAGAAGAAATATTCAAAAATTTCCCCAAAATTCGTGTTTTGTTTAAGGAAAATTGACATCGCCTGATGGCTCATGCGGCATTCTTACTTAGCGCGGCAAATTAGAATAACGTCGCCACGTTGGTTTTTCGGCTATGGAAAATCAACAAGAGGCATACCTACGTACCTGCGTATGCTAGGAGACTCTATTATGGATCATGTTTCCAGACAATTTCAAAAGTGGGGAGCAATCAAATTCTCAATTAATTATGCTCATGCGTGAGAATTGAGAAAAATAAGTCAGCAAAAGGCATTTTTATGACAACAGTCGTATAATTTTGAAAATCATATAAATTAGAAAGATATTAAATTTTTTGTCACCAGAACACTAGTAAAAATTCATCAAGCTCTTTCCAAAAAATTACGGCATAATGTTGAGAAGTTGTATCAGTAAATTGAAATCATGAGGTTTTTTTGCGAAAAGCAAATTGTATTAGATCAAAATGGCAAAATGCTCCATGAAAATACGGCATTTTGCTTTGCAGGACCGTGCAGTATTCCAAGGAACTCCATCCATTACCGAGAGGACAGTTTTCACGCTTTTGCGAAACTTCAAAAAAGGTTCCGGATCTCATATGTGTAATATCCGTGCAATACGCAGTAACATCCATCGCTTTTTCCGCGTATGATAGCATCGATTTCACTGCACTCCGGCTCGTAGACTCCGAAACGCGCTCGGAAAACCATAAATGAGCATCCATAAATGATGAATCGGCAGGAGTCGGGGAGCTCGGGCGAATTTCATCAAAGCACCTCAAGATAAAGGTAGTATTTGTACACGGGAAGTTCCTGATCCCCCGAGAGTCCTGAAAGGTCTTGTCCATGCACCGAACTTTTCGCCAACTTGTTCTAATGCAGCTAAAACTTGTTCGATCAACAATACGTTTAAAAGTTGCGTCAAAGCGGACTGTCGCATCTCGGAGCTACTCCCAACTGCCCCCCGAGGAATCTTTTCACGGATAAAACTGTGACAACTCGAATTGCCCGAGTCCTCTGTTAACCCCTCATTTCATTGACTCGTGATAAAAATATCTCTTTCGAATCAGTTTTGTTAACATACTTAAGAATACCTCCCTCTGCGCGGCTCACACCGTGCACTGAAAAAAAAACAAAACACATTGGATCTAGAGTCCAGACTCTCGAAAACATTGACAAGAAAAAATACTCTTGATTCAATCAGATTTAAGCTTCAATTAAAAGGAAATCCGCTCAAATTAAGAGGCTTGGTTCTTGATTTAAGCAAAAATCCGATTGAATCAATAGTATTTTTTCTTGTCGATGTTTTTAAGAGTCTGGACTCTAGATCCAATGTGTTTTTTTCCAGTGTGTATAAATAAAATGACGTAAGGTACAGCAGCCCCATTTTTGACATTTGGACCGAGTTAAGCAGAAAGGAACCAAGTCACATCAACCATTGCCTTTAATTGGGCAATTTAATTTTTTGTATGAAACCGGTTGCACGGATCATTGTACAAATTGTTAATTTTCTGCCTTGTGCGAATAAGGAAATTCCTTAGAATTTTCGAAGGAGTCCGCACAAGCGTTCCCTTGTAACAAATAAAATTGCCCGATTAAATTTGTCAATAGCTGATATGGCTTGACTCCTTTCTGTTAAACGCTGCTCATTTTGTGTTTGTCTGGTAGAAGAAGAGATTAAGGAGATATAGAGCTTTGTAATCAGGCTGCATTTTGCAGTTTTGACCTACAATATCCGGCTCATTTCAGAAACGACGCCCATACCGTTCTTTTCCCAATGCACTTGAGTGTTTTTACAAGTGGGCTAGAGATTGTAGTTTCTAATTGCAAAATGTAGTCCAGTCGGTCATCTGCGTCGTTTTTGCGACCGAAATAGCCAGTTTGTGGGCCGAACAATCGCCTGCTTACGACCGGCCAGCGGGGAGGTGCCCTAGCCAATCAACTATTCAGCCCGTAAGCGACTCTCGCGGTCACCTAAACGACACAGCCGACCAAGCGCATAGCTCTATTTCACATTAGTCTTGTCTAATCCACCAGGAAAACACAAAATGTCAACGGTCGGGCTGCGGGTCGCTCTGGGAACAATCTGACCTGTAATTATGCGAGTAATAAGCTCCTCATAATTTAGAGGTTATTCGGAGAAAGTTCAAAGGTATTGTGCGGCTTGTTAGGCGATAATGGTTAAAAAATAAAACGAGGAAGTTAATTAGGAGCGGCAAAGAGGTTTTAGGGGTTATCTCCTAAAATTAAGGTGCACTGTCCCAATTTGTTGGATGATTTGGACGTTTCCAATTGATTATGGTAGCACCGCAACACAAGTAGGGGTAGTGCCGTAACATTTCCACACCACGTATCTCGGTTTGCAACGTCGCAGACTTCCTGTCATACTTCATTTTTTTAAACGGAAAGCTACGCAACGGTAATTTTTTTAAAAGTGCCGTGATTTTTATTCTCTGTGCGAGGAAAACTCTGCGAAAACTTCAAGGAATGATGGTAATTTGTTCTCTTCTAAAAAAATAACATAGAGGCGGAGATTTTCAAACACCGGAAATGAGATACGTGGTTGCAGACTTACACCGTCGATTTGGGTGAATAGCCTAATTTATAGGGATACTACCACGATTAATTGGAAATATCCAAATCATCCAACAACCCCTGCCTATTTGTTGCCGTGGGTAGCAAGACATGCGATGTGGTTTGTACCAATCGATGCCAACTAACTTAGAATGGACTACTAGACAAGGTACGAATTTTAGCATTCTGATACATGTTTCTAAACCAAAATTTCACGCAGAACACGATTTGCGCAACGAAAATTATTGAAACCAACTCCTAACGGAGATATTAACATTTTTAGTTCACATTGGTTACGAGGAATTTGAACTGCCCGCTCACAAAGAGACTCAAAGCTCTACGTGAGTCAAATCGCACACTACAACGGTTTCAGCAATCTTCTCAATTGAGCAATGTTCATTTCCCACCATGTGTTGTTCAAACTATAAGCAATTTGCTACAGCTGAGCCAAAGCGTCAAGATTGAGGTTTCTAGATTTTTATATCTCAGAGACTGTCATGATAAACGTTTAGCGCGCGATGTGAATCACGTAGAGCATTGAGTTTTCATGAGCGAGTGGTTTGAATTAACTCATCAAGAATTATTGAATATCTTTGTAAGGATGTGATTTCGGTAATTTTCGTTGTGCGCATCGTGTTTTACGTGAAATTTTGGTTAAGAAACATGTATCGAAATGTTGAAAGAGGTTGTTCCATCCCCCATTAGATTTGGCCCCCTATCAAATATGATCCATCTTTTCAGGAGTGATACAGTAGCATGCGAGACGTTCAAATATGGCGGTCATTTTGACTTAGGCCCCCCCAGAGAGGGGGGGGCGGGGGGTCAAAGACAAAACCTTCAACTGCCTATAACTTTTGAGCGAAAAATTGGATTGAGTTGAACTTTTTTTTAAATGAAAGATCTCAAAAAGATCTATCTGCTGATACCAGA